TGAAAAGGGAAATTATCTCTCATTAGAGACATTAGATCAGTGTTTGGTGAATTGTTACTTAAAATTTACGATTTGGATGGATTTTTAACAAAAGAAGGGGATTTGAAGGTAAAATTTCTTCATTGGGGTGATGGTTCAAAATTGTTGGGATCTGGGTTTTTCTTAGCTGCAGTTTTGATAGATTATGTTTCGAGTGGTATCTTTGATACCTCAAACCAACAAGTAATAGCAATTCTGAAAAATTGGTTGCCCTATTATATGAGTTTCCAACAAGAAAATAAGGAGAATATGGAAGAGTTCATGTTAAAAAGAAAAGATATTATGGAGAGATTAACTGAACCATTTCAACTAACTGAAAAATTAATAGTGACCTTTGAATTACAGGATTATATTGGTGATTTGTCTCATTTTTGGAAAATATTTCAGATAACAAATTCATTCTGTGCTCACTGTATGAGTAATTATCCGAAACTTAAATTCATTCAGGAAAAAACAAAACAAAGGAGAAGCATTTCTACCTTAATAGCTGACTCTTCAAATAAGACACATGGTGTGGGTATTTCATTGCTAAATTGTTTTGGGGAATATGAGAAAAATTGTAATGCTACAACCACTTGTGATGTGTTACATACATTGAAGGGAAGTATTGAAGAAATAATTAATTTATTAGAAAATATTGATGGAATTGATCATGAAATGATAACAGAAATTCAACAAGAAGTTTTACAGAAAGGGGATGTTTCAATATTAAGTGGAGGTCACACAAGATTATTCCTTTTGAATTATCAAAAGTGGATTCCACAACTATCCAATCTTCTGAAAGAAAATAGTGATATTTCACAAAGAAGGAAGCAAATATATGAAAGATTTGAATACGGAAAGGATAATTTAGAGTGGATTTTGTTCCTTATGAGTTTAATATCAAAAATGGCCTATAGATCAGAATATAACAAGAAACCATATGAGGTTGCATTTATTGAAACACTAACCTGCTTGTTATATATTTCTTTGAAATCTAGATATGGAGATGAATTCATGACGAAACATTTTCATGGTTTATTAATTCATTTCCCTCAAGACTTTGAAAGAACATTTCAAAGATTATGTTCTTGTGAAAGAGGCGAGTTTTTAATTTCTATTCTAAAACGAGTATCTCTTACAGAATCAAACAGAAGTCAAGATAATGCCTTACTTGCAATGGTTTTATCAGTTACAGCACATTTAGAAAGATTGTTGAGTGGTGAAAAAGATAATTATGTTGATAATTCCAAAATGTTTGATAATATTGATATATCGGATTGTAATTTTGTTATTAGTGGAAATGTACTGAAATCGAAGTATTTGCCAGAACTAGAATGGTTTTTGGAATATTTAAAATCCAAAAAATTGGATGAATATGTTAAGGTAGAACGTAATCAACAAAAAATAATAACCTCAATTGAGTTTTGCTTTTCAAATGAATGGGAATTTTGCTCTTTGGATTGTAATTCGTTGATTTATGATTCTGCACGTGCTCCAATTGTTGATGCTGCAGAGAATAATTCAAATAGAGAGAAATGCCAATGTGGTAAACCTTGTAATCAAAACTGTACTAGTAATATTGTGAAACATTGTAACAAATGTTGCCATATCCAACAATATCAAGATTCTTCCAATAGAAAAGATTGTAAAGCCCACAGAATCTCAAAGAAAGAGTTTGTTGAAAAATATTTAGTATCTGAATCGGAAGGAATGAAAGCTATTAATTCAAAAAAAGCAAAAGAAAGAAAAATTAAGGATCAATTAAATGAAATTGCAGTGAGGTTGAAATCAGAACTAGAGAAAGAGGAAGAATCGACGCATAAAAGACGAAAGAACGATGAATCATTTCAGAAAAGGAAGAAATCTAAAAAGGAGAACAGTATTTTAGATGTAAATAATTCAAAATCAAATGACTTGATTGTGAATAATTTAATTTCGTCACAAAACCATACTCAAACAACCAATTCTACTCAATTAACACTAAGTGCAGACACAGAAATCAACTCCCAACCTAATTTTTCTCAATCACAACACCAAGAATCTCAAATAATTGACACTGGCACCACCAAAAACACAAGTTCAAGAAGGAAAGGTAGACGAAAATAAATAAGAATTGGACATGGAAAATTATTAAAGACGCTTTGGCTTAGTGGTGAAATGACAGCCTCATGAGCCAAGTGTTGCATGTTCAATTCTCAACTCACACATGAAAGATGTCGGACAAAGTCGACCTTCCAAAAATAAAAAGACTGAAGCTAGAGAAAAGATAATCTACTCGTGTTTAAATAAGGTTTAATCTTCTTCCTCGTCGTCTTCATCTAAATCTTCATCATCTTCGTCATATTCTTCATCTTCAGCACCACCTCCACGAGCAAGTCCTAAAACTTGTCTGAATTGAGAGACAATTTCATTTTCTTCATCGTCTTCAGCATTTTCATCTTCTTCGTGTGTTGGAACTGGTTCTTCTCCTCTCATCCAAACATAGACAGTTTCATCCCAACTGCAACTAGCAATTTCATCCTCCATTTCCAAGTTAAAATCAATACCAACAACAAATTCAGAGTGGTGTTCGTATTTTTCCAACAGTGCATTATCACTTCCCTGTTCAGTATCCCAAATACACAATGACATGTCATAGCTTACACTACCAATTATATTTTCATCGTGTGGTGAGAATTTGAGACGTCTAATAGCAAATCCATGTCCAGTTAAAGTACAAATTGATGAATCTTGATTTGAAGATGATCCACTACCCATGATAGCTCCTGATCTATGCTGATTTAAATTTCTCAAATCCCATACTTTGATGGTTTTATCTACTGATCCTGTACAAACAATATGTTCATTAAACTTATTCCAATCACATGCCAAAACTTCATAATTGTGAACTTGAGCTGATTGTAAACTAGAAATATCATGAATATCCCAAATTTTCATGGTCATATCACCACTGCAACTCATAAAGTGATCACCATTAATCGGAGAAAAAATTGTAGAATATACACAATAACGATGTTCATCAAAAGTTTCCATTGAACTACCATTACCACCACTCAAATT